CCCGTCGCGCCCTCACTGTTCTCGCCCTCGTCTCCGTCACTGCAGTCATCTTCCTCATCTCTTCGAGGAGACTCGGCGGCGACTGGGCGATAGAAGGTCCCAACTACCACCCCTTCAAAGGCCACAGCCCACCTCCGCCTGCTGGCAGCTCCCCAAGCGCAGGTCACGATGGCCGTCCTCCGCCTCCTCCGCCATCCCCGAGCTACCAAGACGACCGCCTCGCACAGCACAATGTGTCGAACCAAGACATTCCCTACCGTCCTCACGACCCCGTTTGCGATACCTTCCCCGACACGAGCAATATACTCGTCATCATGAAGACGGGCGCCACCGAGTCCTTCGACAAGGTTCCCACTCAACTCATGACCATGCTCAAGTGCTTGCCCGAATACTTCATCTTCTCCGACCTCGACCAGACCGTTGCAAACTACCACATTCGGGACAGTCTTGACAAGGTTCTTCCCGAGGCCATGGAAGGTAATCAGGACTTTGATCTCTACCGCCGCCAAAAGGCCTGTCAGGCCGACCAGCAGAGCTGCAACAAGCTGGCTGTAAGCAAGGACGAGGGTTGGAATCTCGACAAGTACAAAAATGTCCACATCGCCGAGAAGACGTACCGTATGCGCCCCAATTACGATTGGTATATCTACATCGACGCCGATACCTACGTGCTCTGGCCCACGCTTGTCCAGTGGCTCAAGAACCTCAACCCCAAGAATAAGCACTATCTCGGTAGTGTCACCATGATTCGCAACTTCGTTTTTGGCCATGGCGGCAGTGGCTACATCGTCTCTCAGGCGGCTATGCATGACATGATTGCGGACCATGAAGATGTTGGCAACAAGTGGGATGTTCGTGCGAGCAAAGAATGCTGCGGAGACTACATCTTTGCGCTAGCTATGAAGGATAATGCCGACGTCAACGTCCATAATGTTGTGAGTATTCATCATGATCTCTCTGTTTTGTACGCAGCTTGGACTGACCGTGTCCCAGTGGCCTACAATCAACGGCGAAAAGCCCTTTACTCTGCCATATGGTCCTACTCACTGGTGCCACCCCATCGTGACAATGCATCACATGAATGCCGAGGAGATCTCCACGTTCTGGGAATACGAGCACAAGCGCTACTCCGACCCTAGCCTTCCCCAGCCGCCTCCAGTCATGCGCATCAAGGATATCTATCATGAATTCTTCGCGCCTCGTATGCAGCCTGAGCGCGCCGATTGGGACAATCTGGCCGATGACCGATTTTTCCTCGACGAATCCGCCAACAAGCACCAGGATTGGCAACTCAATCGAGCCAAGAAAGAAGACTTGACAGAGGAAGAAAAGGTTGCACACTTGTCCTTCGGCAATTGCCGCAAGGCCTGCGAGGCCGACAGGTCCTGCTTCTCATTCCAGTACAAGGACGGCGTCTGCGGCTTCAGTTGGGCATGGAAGCTTGGTCACCCGGTCAAGCGCGAGTCTACGGACGAGAAGCGCACCATGTCCGGCTGGGCTGTAGAGAAGATCAACGCCTGGATTGAGCAGCAGGGCGAGTGCGGTCCAGTCAAGTGGCCCGATGTCTGAGGTGAAAATGTATCATTCATCACCGACTTAAGTGTCGACACGAAACATTCACGTCGCCACGAAAGAGTAGCACCAAAGGCCTGCCTCTATGCAAGCACGCCTGCTATCCAAGGCTTTGAGACGTGACGTATGTTTCACGTGGGGCCTTATTCCATGTCTCAGTACGCCAAGGACTTGGATACGGGATTCATGGACATGGTAGGGAACATACCCCCCTCCTCTGGAATTCCCTTGACTCGGGATTTTCTTGCCAGGGAGGAAACAAAACATTTCTCATGGAAGCCAAATCAGCCAGGCGTCTATCGGTCTGGCATCTGTATAGAGCCGCAGGCATGTGTGTATTTTTTTCTTCGTGTAGTGTGTGTATATCACCATCATGACGTGGCAGGCGAGGCAAGACTTGGGTTTCGAGACGACTTTGGCGTTTATTTGGAAAAGACGTCTAGTTCTTCATTGGCCCTGGTTTGGGAGGCCGACGGAGTCAAACGGTCAGAGCGAGCGCTCGCAATAGAAAGCCTTTCATTGTTCATATTACAGTACATATCCAGATTCCGACTCAGACATTGTCATTCAGCACCCCTCTGTGCCTAGTTAGCTCTGTCCCAACCTCTCCGAGATGAGATCATCTCGAAAACTGAAGGAATGGTAGCGAAGAAACGGGGCCCGGAAGCCGACGAGGTGTGAGGCCTGTTGCTTCCAAGTAACCCAAACTCAGATCTCGGCTCGCGCATTCCACTGATGCGCCACAGCTATTTAAAGACGCTTAGGTAGGGCAGAGAATCGGCAGCGGGTGGCTGGGGATGGCCAGACATCGCATGCCTTGACGAGCTTCCCAGGGGCGACACCGATAAATCGCGGTTCATCCCGGCATTTTGCATGAGGTACCGGTATTGTCACTGGCTCAGTGTGTACATTCCAAAACTAGCATCACAGCACAAGATCGGGCTGGGTATTGCCGCTTGACCCAGGTCGGGTGGAAGACGGCAGTTCGGCATATCATACACAAGACATATCGAGACGACTGTAGATGATCATAACGTCGTAAATTATCCATCCATGCTCCGTAGGCTACCCTCGTCTGCACTGCGACTTGCTCATTTGCTCATCAACTCTGCTCCGCTCCTGATGACGCCCACCACAGCTCCCGTCTGCACTGTCTCGCTGCCGCCGCCGGCCACACGGTGTTCGATATCCGCCAGCCCATCGAGCCACTTGATCATGATTTCCGGCTTGACCTCGAGTGTTGTCAGTTGCTCCGCTAGAGCAGTGATGATATCTGCCAAGGCGAGACCCCGAGACACCTTTAGGGTGTTGATAGTAGTCAGGCAAGACGTCACGTCTGTTGTGCTCAATAAAACATCCAAGATCTCCTGCACAGCGTCGGGCTGAGGGGCGGCGATGCAGTTATATATCGTATCTGTAGAGATGGTTTCCCTCACAATGTCGGCCTCGGCCACCTTGGGTGCGTCCTTGGGTTGCAACGGGGTACCTGTGTTGTTAGCATGCTCTCCAGGGCGATTGTCCAGAACCAGATGAGTACTCACTTGACGCGTGACAAGCCTGGAGCACATTGAGTGCTCTTCTCATGTCGCCCTTGCTAAGCTTCACCAATGCTTCCGTGGCATTGGGAATGATTTTGACGTGCTCCTCCTCAATCACCTTATCCACCAAGACCCTGATATCGCGCTCCTTCAACGGACTGAATCGGAACCTCGTGCATCTTGATAGCAGTGCCGGTGAAAGCTTGTGTGAGTAGTTTGCAATGATGCAGAACCGCGTGTTGACAGTGTACTTCTCCATGATGCGACGCAACGCCATCTGCGCCGTGTTCGTCATAGCATCGGCCTCGTCGAGGATGATGAGCTTGTACGATGCCATGCTGCCACCGCTGCCTGATTTAGCTGAGGGACCGAGAGGGAATATTTGTTTTGTCGAGGCAAAGGTCTTGATCTGCTCGCGAACGACGTCGATGCCTCGATCATCTGAAGCGTTGAGCTCGAGAACCATCTGCCGCATGTTCTCGGTGCCATAGATGCGGCGCGCGAGGGCGAGGATCGTCGAGGTCTTGCCAGTTCCCGGGGGCCCGTAGAGGAGGAGGTGAGGAAGACGATTCGAGTCGACAAACTTGTTAATGGTGGCGAGAATGTCCTGGTGTCCGGACACATCGTTAAGGCTTACTGGGCGGTACTTTTCAACCCACGGCAGACTGTCTTCGGCTTCGACGGGGAGGTTGGCGGCGCTGCGCTTGCCCTGCTTGGCGTCTGAGGAGAAGGTAATGTCCTTGGACACGGGGACGTCGACGTCCATCTCGTCTTCGAAATCGGACATATTGACTGTGCTGCGGGGAAGGTCGGTTGGATGATTTGCGGAGGGGACGATGAGGTGGTGAACTATGAGCTCCAACGTACGGATTGGGCACCCCCGTACAAGTGGAAATTAGAAATCTTGACGTGATGCATCCGCTTGGAAGACGCGTCGCAGACGCGTCGAAGAATGGCTCTTCACGTGACCACTTACGCTTTGCCGAAGGGAGCCCCACGGTTGATGGAGGGAGAAGGCGGTCAATGTGATCGGCCCCACTATCCCTCCGGCCAGCGATCTTCCATTACATAAACGAAACTACCCCTCCGTCAAAGTTGGAGTTTGGGACTCACATCCCAAATCATACAATAGCCACAGTTCCATCTATGGCCCAATATTGTCACTTAGGTCCCTACGTACCTTAGGATCTGGCCAAGTCGTGTTTCGGGCCTCGCCCTCTGTCAGCCTGCGAGCCTGCTGAGTTCTGCCTCAAAGCATCTTAGCAAGTGCTGTGATATTGTGCAAACCCGCAGACATGTCACAAACATGTCAAGTCTGTATGACTACTGTCAGACTTTAGCCTCGCTCTTGCCATTGGACAAGGACAAGAATTGCCGTGTGTCTCCCGACTTTAACGTTCTATCTCAGACAAAGGCCCTGGATTATGTTTGGGCTGTCTAAGTAACCTTTCTTGCTTATGGATACGTTTCGGGGAGATGTCTCCGCTCTCCGCGCACACAAGCTGGTCTTGAGGTGATGCATTACCTTACAGAAAACCCGTCCGCAGTCGAGTCAAGGATTCCCAGTGGAACGCCATCTGGGGATTTTGAAGTTGGGGTGCGTTTGGAACCCCGCTGTTCACATCGTATCAGTCGGCTTCGGCTTCAGAGTCGTGCCATGTCTTGGCCATAGCTGCCAGCCTTGAAATACTGGGCTAATTCCTGGATCTCTTTCACTTTCGAGGTCACCTTCGTCTCATTTCTCCCACCCGAACCGTCTCACCCGCCGTTGAGCCTCGCCAGCACCCTCATATCCACGGTTCCTCATCACCTGCCTTGGCATCTGATCTGCCGTCCCGCTCTGACGCTCATTCCCTTCGTCTCCCACGTCACCGCCGATCTTCTAATCCAATGGCGGCAGCACCCGTCGTTGTTGAACCGGCCAGGCTCGAAGACGCCCCCGCCATCGCCGAAATTTTCTTCAAGTCCTTTAAGAGTGACTTCTTTCAGGCCTTGTTCCCCCAAAACGAATACGGCCGGGCCTACATAACCGACGCCTACAAGCAGTTCATGCTCTCCAAGGAGCACGGCTCCCAAGAAGGTCAAGTTGCCGTTGTCAGGAACGAGAAAGGTAGCGAAAACTCCTCGACATGATCACCTCCGCCGGTTGTCCGAACCCCGACTTTGCCTTACCCTTACCGGACTTCGGACTCCGCTGAGTTAACGGCGCCCATGTGTATGCGTACCTTGTTTGACTGACAGCTGTCTCGTTCATGGCGAGCCTGTAGCCACCACCCTTATCTGGATCATCCGCCCCGAGGACAACGGAACCTGGTCGTGGCGAAAGCGATGGCCGTCCGCTAATGCAGGGCAAAAAGACGAGCTGCTTGATGAGTTCTTCTCCGACATGGCGTCTCAGCACGACCGTGTCATGGGCAAGGACCCTCACGTTTGTATGTCAACTCTTGACTCCCTGGCCGGCCGGTTCGCTCACCACGAACAAGCCTCCCGCTGACAATCTTGCCGGCCGCCCACCCGCAAAACGCTGACCATGTGCCAGACTTTGAGCTGATTTTCACCGACCCGGCCTACCTTCGCCGGGGCTATGCGAAAGCCCTTCTCCAACAAGGAACGGAAATTGCCGACAAGCTGGGCTACCCAATGTATCTCGATGCCGAGCAGTACATCTTGGACCTTTACTCATCAGCAGGCTTCTTGACCAAGACTGAAGTCGGACAATCGTCACAGATGATTCCCATGATGAGGCCAGCCAGGGGCTAAATGAAATGAAATGAAATGGCACTACTGTCGACTATTGACTCATCTTCTTTATCATGAGTAATCACTTCCAGCGTGAAAATCCGCCATCAGTGGAAAGTAGTCATGATATGTGAATAACATACATCAGACGGATGCCCAAGCGGCTTCCGTAAGCAACTCGCTCGCTTCGCTTCAATGCTTTGCTTCCTTCATTCCTTATCGTCTCAAGTCTACGCTTTTCATGCCTTCCTTCTCGTTTCCGTAAGGCGGTGATGCACCCCAGTATTGCTGCCGATACTGCGCGTCGGCCCCGGCGTCGTATGCTTGCCCGTTGTCGAACTGAGAATACATGGATGGCCTCGTGGGACGTCTCGGCGGCATCTCTGGTTCACCTATCTGGGCATACATGTCCGGAATGTCAGGGTACACTGACGGCGTCCTCGGCGGCCGTGGTGGTCGGTTGATGGCATCGATGAGCGTTTGCCTCCTCGTAATTCTCTTTGGCCTCTCCGGCAATGCTGCATCTTCGGCGTTGGTACCAGACGACGTTTCGTCTGACTCTTCCCCAGTATCCTTCTTTTCTTTATCCTTTCCGGCGTCCTTGGTGGCGAAGAAAATGGTGAATACCATCTCCATGTCTTCCGGTCCCTTTCTCTCGCGCATAATCTGATGAGGCACCTCCAAATCGTCAATGAGCCGTTCAATCTCTTCGACAGAGTAGCTGCCCTTGTCCCTGTCGCCAGAGTAGTCCCCGGGCCCACTTGCTCCGTTGGGAATGTGGAACCGAAGGTCAACTCTCATGATGGCGTAGAGTGCGACAACTATGAGCTCAAAGAAGAACCCCGTCGTGTAGAATACTGCTTTGCCGTAAATCACGCTCGGCGTGGCTCCTGGTAATTCCTTATTGAAGACGGCGAACAGACGAATGGACTGTCCGGTCATCAAAAGGAAAGAGCCCAGGTAAAGCAGGGCCACTTTGACTCTTTGTGAGCCAGAACCGAACTTCTCTGGCTTTGGCCCTGGCACAGAGAGGCATCCGCTTACTACAAGGACAGGGAATATGGAGAGGAACGTGTTCCATGAACTTCCGAATTTGAGCAAATCGTCTGTAGTTTCCAGGCGATCTACATTGCCAACACTGAAAAACGCAATGATTGTCGACGTCATGTTCAGAATGATAAAAGCCGGAACCGAGAAGAGCAGAATCAAACTGAACTGACTAAACGCGGTACACCATCCGGCTTTCGGGTGGATCGAGCGGACCAGGCGTTGGGCGAAGAATATGTTAACGGCAAACATAAGAGCAGCACTGAGCATCATGTTAGCAAAACGTTCATTCCTTTTGAAGCTCGGCCCTCTTAGCTTACCCTCCGTTCTCGGTGATCAACGCGAGCAACACAACCCCTCGGGTCGACACAATCGACCATGTGATACGAAAGATGCAAGTAACTGTTCGGATCATACAGAAGTCGAAGACGATATCTGAAATCAGAAACTTGTGACCACGTTTGGCATTCCTTCGGTAAATACTCAAGTGCACGTACGCACCAAGCATGAACAACACCATGAACATAATGGTGACCGGCAAGTCGATATTCTTGTTGGGTATACCACCCGGGAACGCTCCGTTGGCCGGATCAGGAGGTCCCATAGGAGGCCCGCCGGGAGGACCAGTCTGAGCCTGCGGGTTCGGGCTCAGATTGGGCATTCCACCCCTCTCTGGCCCCTGAGCACTCATGATCGGGTTGAGAACTGGCGGTGGTGGTGGTAGATTCGGAGTGCTGAGGAGTGTCGTTGCTAGAGGTGCTGCTGCTAGAGGCGGCGGCGGCGGCGGCGGAGAAGGTGAAGTAGCAGCCAACTGTGGCGTCGTCTTTGGAGTCGGGGTTGAAGGCAGTATCAACGGTGCTGGTACAACTAATGGGGCGGGAATCACAAGTGGCACTGCATTAGGTGCTTGACTCTTGGCCGCAGGAGGAGGTAGAGATGGGAGTCTCGGTGGTTCTGCTTGCTTTGGTGGCGAAGGAGGTTGGACCTGGTTGGGCGATGAAGGGGGTTGAACTTGCTTGGGTGGTGAAGGAGGTTGCGCTTGCTTTGGTATCGGTGAAGGGTGAATCTGCTTCGGCGGAGATAGCGGCTGTATCTGCTTTGGAGGAGGAGGTGGTGGTGGTGGTGGTGGTGGTGATGGAGGAGGAGGAGGAGGAGGAGGAGGAGGAGGAGACGGTCGTATCGTTTGCGTAACAGTGATATATGACGGGGCAGCAGTCCTGACTTGAGTGTATACGATATAATTCGTCTCAACAATGACTTGTGGAGGTTGAAGCTGGCCAGCCACCGACGGTATGCCCGCGTTCGCTATGGACGGGTTTTGAGAAGCCAAAGTTGCTAGTGCTACGGCCGGCGCGGCAGGTCTCTGTGTATTTGAGAGGGGCGTTGATGACAACAGATTTGCTGCTGGCTTTGGTACGGATGCCGCCACTTGTGCTAATTGGAGTGCTGGTGATGTAGAAGCCTGTGCCGCCTTGACAACTCCCTCTGCAGCAACGAATTTGAGAGATATGAGAGGAGCGGCGGCAGACAGGAATCCAGCAAGACCGGCCATGACTGCTTTTAGAAGTGAGGCACGCTGCCTTTTTTCGTCTTCGAGACTCTGCGGCCTGCCGGATCAGGGGTACGGACGGGATGTCGGCTTGTGGGTACAACCAGCTTTGATAGATGTTGTAAGCAGAAGACAGACTAGACAAGACAGCCCAATGCGGGTAGAGAGTCTCAGGTGAATCCCTATGTGTAAGAAGCCGTATCCGGACTTGAGTCAATGGTTGAGGATGACAGACTCCAAGGTTGCATTGCGGCTCATGTAGTGACGAGCTGCATGTATGGAATAGGCAAGCGGGCCTCCTAGTAGTAGTAAACTGACCAAGGCAGTGGAGAGTCTGCGTTATGACCGGCTGACGACGTGTTGCGGAATTCCGGACTTGAAGAGTGCCGCGATGGGCATGCCTAGATAGGGCATTAGGGTAGTAAGGCTGATGACGGCCAAAGGCGAAGCGTACGCAGATCGGGGTCGTTAATAGAAGAAAGTCGGGCCTTTCGATTCTCTGAGACGTTCTGGCTACGGAGGAAATCTTTATTGGATGGGTGTATTCCTCATGATTTGGCCACGGGGTATTCGACTCTTCAGCAGCAAAAAACAAATTGCCAGCGTATCTCGGTTAGGTGTAGTGTCTCTTCGTTCAACGATTTGGCACTTTTTCTCGTTCTCTTTTTCGAAAAAAGGGAAAGAAGGTGATAGAAAGGATATTTGGTGCTAATGAAACCCTTATTAGAATGAATGTTGCCGCATCTCATCCCAACCATACTGTCTTCACGCTCCATCCTTCTCACCTCTTTCTCCTCCTCTTCCCTTGTACAGACTCCTCTCCCGAGCACTCACAAGTAGCTCGCTGCGACGTTGAACCAGTATTCAGCAGCGGGCCGGTATTGGAATATGGGTGAGGTGTGTTTGTAGACTTTCCATCCACTTGCCTCAGAGGGCAAGTGGAATGAGGCAATTCGTTTCAGACGCCGTTGGGGAACAGCGAACTATTTCCCTTTTGGGACGAGAAGGCGGTGCTCTCACCGCAAAAAGTTGCCCCCGACTAAGCAACTCAGCAGAGAAGATGACCTTTTCATCCCGTCTTTTATGAATGTCTTGCCTGTCGCTGCCTGTCTCTTGTACGGGTCCAGCCCACCTGGGCTGTCTGTTCGCACCCCAAGTCATATAAGTAACTGTGACCCATCCTGACGGGTCTGTCAGCCCAATAAGGCAACCGGCTGTCAAGAATGTCTTTGCTGTGAATCATTCCGTCATCTTCCTACTCTTCGCCGTTGGAAGATGCGAGCAATGCGAATCCGACCTGATGCTACGGCTGATTTCCCTTCCCGAGCTTTCGGACTGACTGCAAGGGGTGAATTAGTGCCCGGAACTCCTCTATGCACGCTTTTGCAGTAAGTTCGATACTATCAATCCATGACTTCCGGGCACATTTTTCATGTCTCTTGAACGCTATTTCTTCCTACTCCACGGGCCGATCTTCCAGCGAGCAGTTTCCATGTGTCATGTCGAGGCGAGCTTGGCACACACACTAAACAGAGCCAGAGACTTGAAGCACTGATCAGTGTGTGGATGTGAGAAGAGTTTATCCAGACATTCGTTTATCCTGTAGGTGTGCCGTGTCAAGATGTCTGAGCTTGCGAGAGAAGCTTTTCTGCTTGACAGCGTCTGCTACTGCCGCGATGGTTGACAGGCGCATCGGCCTCAATGATCTTCCCGCTCCCCCGTAAAGTTTTAGTGTGGGAGGGTGGTCATCCAGATCCATGGAGGCTCCGGAGATGTCTGAAATGCAGCTCGGCCACATAGTCGGTCTCACAGCTGGGGAGTTGAAAAAGTAGACGCCATCGGTCTCGGTTACCTAGCACCTTTCTACCAGGGCGGGAATCAGTGGCCCTGCCCGCTGACAATAGGATCGCCACAGCATGCCTGCGTCGATCTACCTTGAGCCAGCATCAAGCTTAAATCGTGCCGGCTGCAGATCGCGATGTGGCTTTTGCAGAAACTGCCGGTAAGGAAAACGCTTGATCGTATGGATACACATGTACTAGGCGGAGGCTACTCAGCTATATGATCGACCATTAAGCCCCCCTGACCCTGACATATGCCGCACGGCAGCCCCTGTTAGTTTCGTACTGCGATACTTTGAAATGTTTCCAGGACCGCGGATAACGGGGCTGGGATTCGGACTTGGTACGGATACAGACCAATGCACACTTTACGTACTTGAACGTCGAACGTCTTGCTCTCATGTCCCCAGCGTGCCCGCGGGCAAGGACCCCAGCGTTGAAGACTGTGCACATCGGACTCAGCGACGTGAGTTGAAATCTGAAGCTTATATGCCTGTGCTACTGGTGGAAAACTACCTGCAAAACTCAAGAAAAAGAAGACCCTATCCGGCGCTGCGACAATACAAGGCATATCCCAGTCCCCC